ATATTAAAAATAAAACATATTCACTAGTTAGAAAAAAGTAATTAAGCTCCTAAGATCAATTTTTCATTGTTTACATTGAAATCAATGTTTATAATATCTCAAACACACACAAAAAAAAAATCATTGTTCAATTTTCCAACAAGTTACATTCTTTATACACCCAAGTTACATTTGGCATCAACGCGAGTTACATTTGTAATAACACGAGTTACATTAAAAAATCAACCCCTGCTATTGAAACAAAAAAAAATGATCTTTTCTAAAAAATTATTTTTTATGACCATGATATTAAAAACAAAACATATTCACGTTTTACCTAAAACAATTGTGCAATTAGACTCTTTTTTTCATTGTTTACATTGAAATCAATGTTTGACAAGTTACATTTTGGATGGGCTTGAGTTACATTGATCAATAATGCGAATTACATGTCTTTACATGCGAGTTACACCATCCATGTTACTGGGACAAAAAAAGTCATTGGACACGCGTGTACTGTTCACGCGGTTTTTTTTTTAAATTGCCCAAAACTGCATCGTTTAGGGAGTGGGAGTCTGATGCTCATGGTGGGACAGTCGTATGATATACGAACTATTCTTGAAGATTACAAATCTACAATACGGAGTACTACTCACTGTCGATGTGGAGCTATGTGGACCGAGTGTTCAAAGGGCAATTTAGAGAAGTGTGTTTTTATTGATCATACTTTTGAAAATTAAGATAAAAGGTCTCTTTTTTGTTCATGACTTATTGTTTAGTAATATTAGAGACAAAAACCCTATATTCTTTGTAGGTTGTGTCTATATTTTATTTATTTTTTAAGTTTCTTATATTTTAAAAAAATATTTATTTTTTATTATTATTGTATGGAGTATTGTTTTTTAAAAATATTATAAATTTTCTATTTTTTTTAATTTTATTATAAATCAAAACATTTTTATTTTTTATTATTTTTTATTACAAATTAAAATATGATTTTTAAAAATATGATTTTAGTAAAAGTAGAATAAGAAGATAAAGTACATTTTAGTTCTATTTTGGGAAGATAAACAACACGATCCTATTGTGTTTAGGGATTAGTTTACTCCGATTTAGAGCTGTTTTGCCTTTACTTTACTCTATAATAAAGAAGTCATTCACACCCTTTATATAATGTGGACTCTGGAGTTATTATGTTTTTGGCAGTATAGAAAAGCAGTCTGGACAAACTGAAGACAAACTCACTTTTTTTTATCTAGAAGGGAAATCACAGATATCAGTAGAGTAAGTGTAACACCGGACCCGAATTTTACTGTGAGAAATTTTTTTTCATCAAGTACTGGGTTAAAGAAGGTAAATCAAGGCTAAGAGTAGTCTTGATAAATGAGAAAGTAAAAATTTTGTCTTAAATTAATAAAGGATTATTAATTTAGACGTGGGGACCACTCATGATATTTCGAGTTTATAAAATATTAATGTTTATCAAAATGATATTATTATTATTATAGTAGCGATGGGTCATGGACCCCAGTGATATAAAGAACGACAACTAGATGGCCAAGCGGGTCGGGGTCACTATCCGATAATTGTGAATCATTAATTATCGGACTGATAATAATTCGGACGGCTACGAATTAATAACAGAAGGAATATAAATTTTTTAAGAACCCACAACATGGGATGATGGATAATAATGAGCAACTTGACATGTTAGAGGTGGGTACTTTTGGAGGACCCTACCTTGGAGATATTTTGTATAAGAATAAACAGATAAGATTTTATCTGTTCATACAGTTCGAACCACTTAAAAATAAGTGTAACATTTTATTAAAGTGTCACCAAATATGAAACCACATATTAAGTAATGAGAAATGACGAGTGAATTTTCGAGGCAACGCGTTCTCATTTTTACTGTTACTTCAACAGTAAAATACACGTTGGGCCCACACGTGGGCGGCGACCATCCGATATTTATGGACCACATATTATATTCATCTTGGTTTAGATAATATTTATATGATGGTGTAAATTAATGTTGAGCCATAAAGTTGGCCTTTCGATCAAACAAGGTCCCATTATCGGTATAGTTAATTAATCAGATAACAGCCCGAAATAAATTCCAGGGACCACTAAATTGAAGTTGGGTAATATATATTCATTTTAGATTCCAATATTAATTGGAAGAATGATATATATTTTACTTGACCCGATAAAATAAAATTTAATTAAAACAGTCCGGAAAAATACAACTTTCGGGACCGAAAATACACTTTGGGACAAGGGATGACCTCCCACATGGGTGGGGGCCACCCCACGACTTATGATCTCAAATAAGTGAGGAGAACCATGTTGAAGAGCTGGAAATGAATTGAGATGATGGGGGGATTAATCAAGTCATCAAATGAACCTTTCCCCCACACCATTCATACATGAAAGACAAAAGGACATCTCACTCACCCACCCTCCTATTATTTCGGCCCTAGCATCAATTAGGGAGGAAAAGAGTCTCAAAAACATCATCTCCACCAGCTCTACTCGAACTAAGAACAAGGGAAACGAAGGAAGCAAGAAAAGAGAAGAAGTCTGCCAACTAGCTCGTACAATTTCAACCCTCGAGATTGTTCACTTCATATCTCACGCATCTCTTATCCAATGAGCTTGAGTGAGGTGTCATTAGATAGGTCTTGAAGAGAGCTTTCATACGAGGTGCTGCACTTAAGGATACGAGGTGTTTACAGCTCAAAAAGGGCAGATAAACACACGAGGTATAAATCTGGATTCTCAAAACAGTTTGTATTTGGTTTCTAGTTATTACCCAAAATTGTTTATAAACCCTATTAACGAATAAAGTGGATATCCTACACGATTATAAGTGTAGTATAAGACCTTAATATAGTAATTTAATCATCCAAAGGGTTGGATACTAACCATGAACAGAGTTATGACCGGAGTAAGACCGGTTCACCGGAAAACACCTTCTCGGAAGGTTTTGATGTTTATACCACTTTTGGTTTATGAAACCTTGTTAGGTCTTTTACCAAGATATTCTAGACTTCTCAAGGAATCTAGGAGTGGCCGGAAAAGTCGCCGGATCCGCCGGAGTTTTCGCCGGAAAATTCAAAAGTCGCCGGAGTTCGAACAAAGAAGATAAAAGCTTGCTAGCGTCATTTCATGGTGAGTGGACGACTACGTGTCTTGTAACTCTTGGTTCAAACGTGGGATTACCTAAATAAAATCATAACCATGATTTGAGAAATGGTGAAATGGATTAAAATGCATGATTAGTCATGGTGTATATGACTAATGAAAAAAATAGATTAATTTATTAATTAATCATTAGTACGTAGTATATATTTCTTAATGCATAAGAGGATATACTTGAACCATGTATGAGATAAGCTCGAATAATCTAGTAAGTGAATATAAAAGGGTTGTAAAGTTGTGATTATCCATATTAAATATGGATTATGGAAGTATTATATGATTAATAAAAAAATGATTAATTTATTAATTAATCATGAGTATATTTTTCTTAAATGAATAAGAAGGTATACTTGAACCGTGTATGTGATTAACTAGAGTTATCTAGTAAAGAAATATAAAAAGATATGTGATATGTGATTAGTCATATTAATTATGGATTATGGAAATATGGCATAATTAATGATTAATCAATTAATGGTATGAATAAAAGGTTGTAAGAAAGGATCATGAGCCATGATTTGGGCTTGGGCACGAGATTACTCAAATAAAACAGAATGATATTCCATGAAATGTTAAATACATCTAAGAATGTATTAAGGAAAGATTTACTTATTAATAGTATTAATAAGTGTATTTAATGTGCTTTAATTTGGACAGAAAATGATTATAAATTATGTGTGATGATTTGGACGTCCAAAATAATATTTTTGGACTAAGAATGACTTGTTGCATAAGCGTATAAAATTTCGTGGAAATCGGACCCCGTTTGGATGGTCAAACGGGCGTTGACCAAAATGTTGACTGGTTGCCCAGGGGGTAACCGGCGCCGGTTATAGGCAAAACCGGTGCCGGTTATGGTTCGGTTTACTCAAGAAAATCAGTAAACCGGCGCCGGTTATGGGTAAAACCGGCGCCGGTTATGTCTCGGCTTTCAGGACTGATTTTTGGTAAAAACCCAAATCGGACTCGGTTCAACGTGGGATTAATTCTGGTCATGCTATATATGAATATTTTGCATGGAATTGCATGAAATATGATGTTTAAAATGATAAGGCTTGGAATACGGTTTAAACGCTAAGACTTGGACTAGTCGTTAGTAAAGAAATTATAGACCACGACCAGGCGAGGTACGTGGTAGATTATACATGGCGGGTGAATACCCGGGACCAAGTAAGGTTTTATAATACTCTGTAGGACCAGGAGGAGTCATCTACACTCAAACGTTAACAAGGGCCCGTGCAGTCCTTGAGGTGTGTTTAACCTCCATCAAATTGCATATAGGTAACAAGGGCAAATGCAGTCCTTGAGGTGTGTTAACCTCCACCAAAGTGCATATAGGTAACAAGGGCAAATGCAGTCCTTGAGGTGTGTTTAACCTCCATCAAATTGCATATAGGTAACAAGGGCAAATGCAGTCCTTGAGGTGTGTTCAACCTCCATCAAATTGCATATAGGTAACAAGGGCAAATGCAGTCCTTGAGGTGTGGTATCCTCCATCAAATTGCATATAGGTAACAAGGGCCCGTGTAGTCCTCGAGGTGTGTTAACCTCCAGCAAATTACACGTAGGTAACAAGGGCAAATGCAGTCCTTGAGGTGTGGTATCCTCCATCAAATTGCATATAGGTAACAAGGGCCCGTGTAGTCCTTGAGGTGTGGTATCCTCCAGTAAATTACACATAGGTAACAAGGGCAAGTGCAGTCCTTGAGGTGTGGTATCCTCCATCAAATTGCATATAGGTAACAAGGGCCCGTGTAGTCCTTGAGGTGTGTTAACCTGTAACACCCCCATTTTCCCTCCCAAAATAATACTTGAAATAATAGATTTATTGATAATAACTTGATTTATTCTTTCAAAACAGATAAAAAGTTTTGCAGCGGAAATAACATTAAATGGGAAATGGGTGTTACCGCCACATCCGGTCATCTCTTAACCGAATGCACAGGCAATCACCAAACAAAGTAAAACAAGTGTTCAACATAATTGGATTGTTTATTTATAACTAGGTTTGACTAAGGCATCTCTAAACCGCTCTCGTGGTCATACAATCATCAGTCCACATAAGCATCATCACCTGCACAAATAAAGTGCAGAAAACAAAACAAAGAAAAGGGAACAAAAATTAGCTTTAGAGCTAAGTAAGTACTACCCAACCCCGTAAAATAATCAGGTTTGGCTAAAAATAGTTTTTCATATAATACTATATAAAAATGACACACTCCACCAAAATCCTTTTCTCTTTGATATTTCTCAAAATCACTTCTTTAATAAAGTCCTCAACTTTTCTTTGAAAATACTATAGTAACTCTTCTCTTAGATTTTCTCAAAATTCACTTCTTCTCTATCTTCCTAGTAATTTAGAAGGGCGGTGCTCAACCTTTCGACTGAGCCCGGTGGACCGTGGTTACGGACGGCCACCCCGAACAAGTGCCGGTACCACAACTGCTCTTGCGGAAACGAAACGACTACCTTAAGTGTGCACACCCCCTAAAAGGGATTCCAAGCCCTCCGAGTAGTAAGTCGTCACGAGTAATCGGGACTCAGTCTACCAACTACCCCTGAATAAGATATCTTTGAATGATTAGGGACTACTACTACAACTCTGCTTCTTAAAAGGGATCATCGATCCAATTATCACTCAAAACTTATCCTCACCCTTAGCAGTAGCAACCCTTTTACGTCGGAACTACTACTGCTACCACAACTCTCCTTCTTAAAAGGGATCATCGATCCGAAAGTTACTCAAAAATCTCTTCTTAGTAGTAGCCCTAACCACTCTCCACATTTTAAGGGACGTGGAAAACCAACACCTCGGATTACTCCCGAGATGCCTACCTCTTATGAAATCATTCTTTTATCTTGAATTAATATACTTCAAAATATTCCTCAATTTCTCAAACTGCCTCAAAATGTTTAAATAAAATATTTAATACCCAAAAGCATTTAGTTTCACTTCTCAAATATCACAGATCCAACAATCTCAAAATCTCATACATATACATCATAACTCACATTAAAATCATGTATCACATAATACATATATAATACGAGGAAACGATTTTGGATTGGCAGAGAAACTTACCTTAAATCTGATGCTCCTAGTTCTTCTCCTCTATTCTTGTCTCAAAATAATCACCTTTTTAATTAAGACGATATGATCAGTCACTTATCCTATTTGTAATAATACGTCTGATTTTCCCCTCTTATTTTAGTATTCAGACATAGGTTATTGTTAGTTAATCACTTTTATTAACCATACTTTTATTAACCTTACTTTATTTCGTAATTTAACTTCTCACCTTATCTACTCATTTCTTTTATTAATTTGGTACTTTAGTTTAATCTAATCCAATATCCGAATTAATTTACACTTAAATATGTCTGAATTATTTTCATAAAAATTTAGTACTAAAACAGCCATTAAATTAATCTTCTCTTGTAAAAGATCCAAATTATAATCGTTAGATTTTCAAAATACTTATTTGTATTTTATTACAAATATATCCGAATAATATTACTCAGTAATCAATTTTAGAAACAACCAAAAATTATTAATTTAACAGTTCTAAACTAGTCATATATCTTAGGATAATGTTTAAATCGTGTATTATTAGTAACAACTTAAATGATGCATGATTTTAAGTTATGTAGTGATCTCAATTAAGAAGTGACAATTTCATTAAAGGTAACTATTATCAATCTAGCCATTCCAAATCTTAATTGCTATCTCAAATCTTCATTAACGATTTCACAGGTTGTAGTCACAATTTTTTTTTTAATATTATTATTATTATCAATATTACTATTATTATTATTATTATTATTATAATACATTTTCGGCCAGTCCAAAACATGAGGTCCACTCTTAGGAATTAAAAGAAACAGGCCCAGCTGCAATTGGCCCAAAAAAAATATAAAGAGGAGAAGACCATCGTCTTCTTCCTCGGGAGGACGCCGGTAATGGCTAGACGCAGGGAAAGGGGTTACCTCGACGGAAGCGTGAAACGGTGGTGCTGTTGGCTCCTTCTGGGATGACGGTGTTCGGTGATGGACTGGCGGCACCGGCGGTTCTTCCTTCTTCTCCGTTTTCCGTCGTTACGGTTAGCCCGGCAAAACTCCGGCAAGCGATATCTCTCTTGTTTCACGACCGTTTTCAACGATTCTTTCACCGTTGGATTCCTCTCACGAAGGGAAATGTTTTTAGAGTGTTTTTGAAGCTCGTTATATAGTATAACGCTGGGTCGAATTTTTGTATATAGGAGGTAGTGCCTTTTGTAAAGCATGAACGCATGGATATATATACACGAGGAGGAAATCTTTTGGTACATTCGTTAGGTATGAATTCGACCTATGCATGTGTATGCAACTCGGATCTTTTGTTCGCATATGAGGTTGGCTTAATTGAAAAACATGGGATGTGGGTATAATTATATAAAAGACCCATGTGGGTGTGTAGCTCACATAATTCGTAGTATGTGTACTGCATGTATTATTAGAGTACTATCTCTATATGTGAGTTTACATAACATGTAGTGTTATTATTATTATGATATATAATATATGTACTTCGTATATTAATGCTATCCATCGCATGTCATATAATTGTTATATCGAGTATGTATTGTTTTTAGACTTTAAAAGTCAACTCTTTTTAAAAATCTTACGTGTTTTGTTTTTGTACACATTTTATTTACTCATATTAAAGCATCATTTTTTATTATTTGTATCATATGTATAATTATCACTTGTCACAAAAGTGTCACTTTTGTTATTTAAGTCAATATCCTATCTAGTCAACATAATTATTGTAAAAATGTTACTTTTATTATCGAAATATTTTATCTGATTAAAATGTCACCGATGTTAAAATTTTATCTGATTCACTTGATTTTAAAAAAAATCACTTTCGTAATATTTTGCTAACTAATAAAATTTATTTATTTTATTTTATTAAATTTTTCGAGTTGTCACATTCTACCCCCCTTAAAAGATGTTTCGTCCCGAAACATAAATTAAAGAAAATTTTATCCACAAATGAATACCACATCTTAGTTAATATTAAATTTTATTTTATTAAATTTATGGAGTGTCACATTCTACCCTCCTTAAAAGATGCTTCGTCCCGAAGCATAATCTAATAAATAAAATATCCTCTATTATATTTTCAGAGGTATTACATTCCACCCCTCTAAAAACAAGTTTACGTCCCCGTAACCAAAACGTTTTACCTTAGTCAAATAACTCTGGATAGCGGTTGCGCATATCGTCTTCGGACTCCCAAGTGGCGTTTTCGGCCAAGTGGTTAGACCACAATACCTTTACCATTTTAATTGACTTTCTCCTAGTCTCACGAGTTTTGGTGTCAAGGATCTGGATAGGCCTTTCCTCATAAGTCAATGTCTCATCCAACTCGACCACCTAATTGATTAAGGGTTAGACATGTTGAATTTGATTTTGAAAATTGTAAGGTTACGAGTTGTACCTCGGGGTTAAGGATATGTGATTCGTCGCGGACATACTTCTTCAATTGCGAAATATGGAAAACGTTGTGTACCTAAGTATACCATACGTTAGTATTTGAGAGGCACTTACTATTATACTTACCATCGCGAGGTTTAAGGTGTGTCTTACCTTAGCCAACTCCATGGGTAAAGCTAAACGGTATGCCAACCGTCCCACTCGTTCGAGGATATCATATGGGCCGATGAACCTTGGGCTTAACTTTCCCTTCTTTCCGAATCTCATTACTCCCTTCGTCGGTGAGACTTTGAGTAGGACTTTTTCTCCCACTTTGAATTCAGCTGGCTTCCTCCCCAAGTCAGCATAAGACTTCTGACGATCTTGTGCAGCTTTCATCCTGGCTTGAATCAGTTTCACCTTCTCCATGGTGTCATGTAGGTACTCTGGCCCTAGCACCACTTTGTCTGTCAAGTCACTCCAGCATAGTGGACTTCTACACTTTTGACCATATAAAGCTTCGTACGGGGCCATCTTGATACTGGCGTGGTAGCTATTGTTGTACGAAAACTCTATTAAGTCTAAGTGTTCGTCCCATGACCCTTGTAGGTCTAGTATACATGCTCTCAGCATGTCCTCGAGTGTTTGGATTGTTCGCTCGGTTTGTCCATCAGTGGTTGGGTGAAAAGCTGTACTCAACCTTAGTTTCGTCCCCAGAGCAGCTTGTAATTCCTTCCAGAATTGAGATAGAAATCTAGAATCACGGTCAGAAACAATGTCTTGTGGAACTCCATGGTTTTTAACTACATGTTTGATGTAAGCTCGAGCTAACTTCTCCATGCTCCATGTCTCGTTCATTGAGATAAAGCGAGCGGTCTTTGTTAACCGATCAACTATAACCCATACCTTGTCTTTGCCAGACTTGGTTAGGGGTAAGCCCCCAACAAAGTCCATGGAGATAGAATCCCATTTCCATTTTGGTACCTCCAAAGGTTGCACGAGCCCCTTGGGCTTGCAACGTTCGGCTTTCACCTTCTGGCAGTTCAGGCATCGAGCCACGAATTCAGCTACCTCTTTCTTCATCTTTGGCCACCAAAAATTCTTTTTGAGGTCTTTGTAGAGTTTGTCACCTCCAGGGTGTACCGAGTAAGGCGTGTTGTGCCCCTCCTCCATGATTTTCTTCTTAATCTCTTCACATTTCATCGGGACACACCACCTTCCTTTGTGTCGAATGCTACCATCTTCGTGCAGTTCGAATGGTCCGTTTACGCCATTCGTCATACCAGCTCGGATTCTGTCCAACTTTATATCTCCAGGCTGCCCTGCTCTAATTTCATCGAAAAGAGATGGGGTAACGGTCATGGTGAGTAACCGCGTTTCCCGGTCTACTTCTCTGAAATCCCGTACCTCCAAGTCTAATTTTTGAAAGTCCCGATATAGCTCATCAGGTAGTATCCACGTTGCTCTGCAGGAGTGTGTTGATTTTCGGCTTAGCGCATCGGCAACTACGTTTGCTTTCCCTTCATGGTACTGAATCTCCAAGTCGTAGTCCTTGACGAGTTCTAGCCAACGTCTTTGTCTCATGTTAAGCTCCTTTTGGGTGAAGATGTACTTTAGGCTCTTGTGATCGGTGTAAATTTTACATTGTACCCCATATAGATAGTGCCTCCATAGTTTTAAGGCGAAGATAACCGCTGCCAGTTCCAAGTCATGAGTCGGGTAGTTTACCTCGTGGGTCTTCAGTTGTCTTGATGCATAGGCCACCACTTTGCCATTTTGCATCAATACGCAACCCAACCCTTTCAAACAAGCATCGGTGTAAACCTCGAACCCCTCAGTACCCGATGGTAGGGTTAAGATAGGTGCGGTTGTTAATCTTTGCTTAAGCTCCTGGAAAGCCTTCTTGCATTCCTCATCCCATATGAATTTCGTGGTCTTCTTCGTGAGGTTAGTCAAAGGTTTTGCAATCTTTGAGAAATCCTTCACGAATCTGCGATAATAGCCTGCCAAGCCTAGAAAGCTCCGGACCTCCGTCACGGTTGTGGGTGTAGGCCAGTCTATCACTACTTCGATCTTTGATGGATCAACAGATACACCTTCTTGGGTGATGATGTGGCCCAAGAATGCTACCCGATCCTTCCAGAATTCACACTTTGAGAGTTTGGCATAGAGCTGATTCTCTCTCAAAGTTTGCAGTGCTGTCCTCAGATGTTCTTCGTGCTCTTTTGGTGTCTTAGAGTACACCAGGATGTCGTCGATGAATACAATAGTAAACAAGTCGAGGTAGGTTCGGAACACACGGTTCATGAGGTCCATAAATACCGCAGGCGCATTTGTTAGGCCGAACGGCATCACGGTGAACTCATAGTGTCCGTACCTTGTTCGAAAAGCCGTCTTCGGGGTGTCTTTCTCGGCAATCCTCACTTGATGGTACCCGGATCTCAGATCAACTTTGGAGAACGTGCTAGCCCCCTTGAGTTGATCAAAGAGGTCATCAATGCGAGGCAACATATATTTGTTCTTGACTGTTGCTTTGTTTAATTCTCTATAATCGATGCAGAGCCTCAGGCTCCCATCCTTCTTCTTTACAAACAAGACTGGAGCGCCCCAAGGTGAGACACTCGGTTTGATGTAGCCCTTCCCCAACAGTTCTTCTAGTTGTTCCTTCAGCTCCTGCATCTCCTTTGGTGCCATTCGGTACGGTGCCTTCGAAATAGGTGCGGTGCCCGGCATTAGATCGATCGAAAACTCAACTTCCCTCTCCGGCGGCATTCCCGGAATTTCTTCTGGAAACACATCCGGAAATTCATTGACCACAGGGATTTGGTCAATGGTTGGATCTTCGGTTGTTAAGTCTTTGATCATGCATAAGTAAACTTCACACCCCTCCCGGACGTGTCGTTTGACTTGTCGCATGGTTGCCAGCTTCACGCCTGGCTGAGATGTAACCACTTTGTAGGATACACGCTTCTTGTGGGGTCCTCGCAAGACCACTTTTTGTTCATCACAAAGAATTCTCGCCTTATATTTTCCTAGCCAGTCCATTCCCAACACCACGTCGATATCCTCCAAGTCAAATTGGATTAGATCTCCGGGTAATTCGGTATCGGATATGACTATAGAAACATTGGAGAAAACATTCCCGCAAGCTACAACTTTATTAGATGCTGTTTTTACATTAAGATTGAGTGTAGCGGTAGGTTCTAACTTTAACTTTTCCACAAGTTTTGAGGATATAAAACTGTGGGATGCACCCGAATCAAACAGTACATGAGCAGGTGTGGAATTTACAAGGAATGTACCTGACACCACATCGTTGGCATTTGCCTGAGCTTGGTTCATGACATAGATCCGGCCTTGGGTGTTGTTTTGCCCTCCCTGGCCCGGGTTACGGTTGCCCTCCGTTGATCGGCTTCCGAGATTACCACGGTTGTTGTTAATGTGATTATCCCCACCCCCGGTCTGGTTGTTCCCCTGGTTTTGGCCCTGGATCTGGGGTTTCTTCTCATCCAGACACTCATACGCCCTATGCCCCATACGGTTGCAGTTATAACACTTCACCGCGTTCCCTGCACAATCCTTCCCAGGATGGTTGTTTGGGCATAGTTTGCATTTGTAGTACCGTGTCTGAGTTGGCTGGATTCTCCCCTGACCTTGGCCATGGATGGTTCTCCCGCCTTGATTGTTTTGACGTTGTTCCGGGCGGTCAGTTCTAGCCTTCTTTTGTTGCTGCTCCATTTCAGCATTCTTTCGATCTCTCTTCTGTGCCTCTCTTTCTTTCTGGTGTACCAGATAGTACTTACCAGCCTTCCTATATGCCTCGTTCAGGTTCCGTGGCTCCGCTACAGTCACGAACTTTTGGGCCCCGTAGTTAAGCCCGTTAACAAATCTGCGGGTCATGCTGGCCTCGGTTGACACAAGGTCTTTGGCAAAACGAGCCAATTGGACGAACTTCGTGTGATATTCCTGAACAGTCAAGTCACCTTGCTTGAAATTGACAAATTCGTCATAATTTGCCTCCTTTACGTGATCCGGATAGAAGCGATCACGCAGAGCTACTATGAAGTCCTCCCAGTCAAAGCCCGGTTGCTCGAGAAGTGCTGGTCCGGTGGCGGCCCACCAGTGGTCCGCTTCTTGGTGCAGGTAATACACCGCAATGTTCACTCGCTGCTCCAACGGGCAGTTGAGTGAGTCAAAGAGTTTGTCGAAGGTGCGAATCCAGTCCTCCAAAATAAGATGGTCCTCCTCGCCCAGATATTTTGGAGGGTTCCGCCCGGCTACTCTTGTTGCGTAGTCAATCCCACGGTTCGAGGATTGAGCCGCTCCGATAAGTTGTGCCATTTGTTGGACAGTTTGAGCAAGCTCTTCAACGGTTGGGGTTGTGTGGGGGTTCCTTCTTGGCGGCATGATTCTTAATAAAGAAAATGAATACTAAGTGCTAAGGCATTCATAAGGCTTCTATGTTATGCAAGTTCTCTACTAACTCAAATTCTTACAGATAAACACATACAGAGGATAACATATCCACATACTTCACATAGGCATGAATCTCATGCATTTCAAAAATCAATAATATCGCCAAGGTTCCTCCTCCTCACCGCGTTCCTAGAAAGGCCCCTTTCCTAGTATGTTCATTCTCCTAGTTCTTACGAAAAACATTTTGAAAATCCCCACTTCGAAACCATGGTTTTCGTCAAAGATTTCGAACAACGAAGTTTCAGCACAAGGAGAAATTCCCAGTTGGTTGGACGAGCGCAAAGGCTCAATTATGCACCAACCAGCTCAGACTCTTATCGTCTCGTTGACAGAATTCCTCCCTACGACCTATTACCCCGTGTCCTAATCCTTTCGGAAAACCTAAGGTCTCTGATACCAATTTGTAACACCCCCATTTTCCCTCCCAAAATAATACTTGAAATAATAGATTTATTGATAATAACTTGATTTATTCTTTCAAAACAGATAAAAAGTTTTGCAGCGGAAATAACATTAAATGGGAAATGGGTGTTACCGCCACATCCGGTCATCTCTTAACCGAATGCACAGGCAATCACCAAACAAAGTAAAACAAGTGTTCAACATAATTGGATTGTTTATTTATAACTAGGTTTGACTAAGGCATCTCTAAACCGCTCTCGTGGTCATACAATCATCAGTCCACATAAGCATCATCACCTGCACAAATAAAGTGCAGAAAACAAAACAAAGAAAAGGGAACAAAAATTAGCTTTAGAGCTAAGTAAGTACTACCCAACCCCGTAAAATAATCAGGTTTGGCTAAAAATAGTTTTTCATATAATACTATATAAAAATGACACACTCCACCAAAATCCTTTTCTCTTTGATATTTCTCAAAATCACTTCTTTAATAAAGTCCTCAACTTTTCTTTGAAAATACTATAGTAACTCTTCTCTTAGATTTTCTCAAAATTCACTTCTTCTCTATCTTCCTAGTAATTTAGAAGGGCGGTGCTCAACCTTTCGACTGAGCCCGGTGGACCGTGGTTACGGACGGCCACCCCGAACAAGTGCCGGTACCACAACTGCTCTTGCGGAAACGAAACGACTACCTTAAGTGTGCACACCCCCTAAAAGGGATTCCAAGCCCTCCGAGTAGTAAGTCGTCACGAGTAATCGGGACTCAGTCTACCAACTACCCCTGAATAAGATATCTTTGAATGATTAGGGACTACTACTACAACTCTGCTTCTTAAAAGGGATCATCGATCCAATTATCACTCAAAACTTATCCTCACCCTTAGCAGTAGCAACCCTTTTACGTCGGAACTACTACTGCTACCACAACTCTCCTTCTTAAAAGGGATCATCGATCCGAAAGTTACTCAAAAATCTCTTCTTAGTAGTAGCCCTAACCACTCTCCACATTTTAAGGGACGTGGAAAACCAACACCTCGGATTACTCCCGAGATGCCTACCTCTTATGAAATCATTCTTTTATCTTGAATTAATATACTTCAAAATATTCCTCAATTTCTCAAACTGCCTCAAAATGTTTAAATAAAATATTTAATACCCAAAAGCATTTAGTTTCACTTCTCAAATATCACAGATCCAACAATCTCAAAATCTCATACATATACATCATAACTCACATTAAAATCATGTATCACATAATACATATATAATACGAGGAAACGATTTTGGATTGGCAGAGAAACTTACCTTAAATCTGATGCTCCTAGTTCTTCTCCTCTATTCTTGTCTCAAAATAATCACCTTTTTAATTAAGACGATATGATCAGTCACTTATCCTATTTGTAATAATACGTCTGATTTTCCCCTCTTATTTTAGTATTCAGACATAGGTTATTGTTAGTTAATCACTTTTATTAACCATACTTTTATTAACCTTACTTTATTTCGTAATTTAACTTCTCACCTTATCTACTCATTTCTTTTATTAATTTGGTACTTTAGTTTAATCTAATCCAATATCCGAATTAATTTACACTTAAATATGTCTGAATTATTTTCATAAAAATTTAGTACTAAAACAGCCATTAAATTAATCTTCTCTTGTAAAAGATCCAAATTATAATCGTTAGATTTTCAAAATACTTATTTGTATTTTATTACAAATATATCCGAATAATATTACTCAGTAATCAATTTTAGAAACAACCAAAAATTATTAATTTAACAGTTCTAAACTAGTCATATATCTTAGGATAATGTTTAAATCGTGTATTATTAGTAACAACTTAAATGATGCATGATTTTAAGTTATGTAGTGATCTCAATTAAGAAGTGACAATTTCATTAAAGGTAACTATTATCAATCTAGCCATTCCAAATCTTAATTGCTATCTCAAATCTTCATTAACGATTTCACAGGTTGTAGTCACAATTTTTTTTTTAATATTATTATTATTATCAATATTACTATTATTATTATTATTATTATTATTATAATACATTTTCGGCCAGTCCAAAACATGAGGTCCACTCTTAGGAATTAAAAGAAACAGGCCCAGCTGCAATTGGCCCAAAAAAAATATAAAGAGGAGAAGACCATCGTCTTCTTCCTCGGGAGGACGCCGGTAATGGCTAGACGCAGGGAAAGGGGTTACCTCGACGGAAGCGTGAAACGGTGGTGCTGTTGGCTCCTTCTGGGATGACGGTGTTCGGTGATGGACTGGCGGCACCGGCGGTTCTTCCTTCTTCTCCGTTTTCCGTCGTTACGGTTAGCCCGGCAAAACTCCGGCAAGCGATATCTCTCTTGTTTCACGACCGTTTTCAACGATTCTTTCACCGTTGGATTCCTCTCACGAAGGGAAATGTTTTTAGAGTGTTTTTGAAGCTCGTTATATAGTATAACGCTGGGTCGAATTTTTGTATATAGGAGGTAGTGCCTTTTGTAAAGCATGAACGCATGGATATATATACACGAGGAGGAAATCTTTTAGTACATTCGTTAGGTATGAATTCGACCTATGCATGTGTATGCAACTCGGATCTTTTGTTCGCATATGAGGTTGGCTTAATTGAAAAACATGGGATGTGGGTATAATTATATAAAAGACCCATGTGGGTGTGTAGCTCACATAATTCGTAGTATGTGTACTGCATGTATTATTAGAGTACTATCTCTATATGAGAGTTTACATAACATGTAGTGTTATTATTATTATGATATATAATATATGTACTTCGTATATTAATGCTATCCATCGCATGTCATATAATTGTTATATCGAGTATGTATTGTTTTTAGACTTTAAAAGTCAACTCTTTTTAAAAATCTTACGTGTTTTGTTTTTGTACACATTTTATTTACTCATATTAAAGCATCATTTTTTATTATTTGTATCATATGTATAATTATCACTTGTCACAAAAGTGTCACTTTTGTTATTTAAGTCAATATCCTATCTAGTCAACATAATTATTGTAAAAATGTTACTTTTATTATCGAAATATTTTATCTGATTAAAATGTCACCGATGTTAAAATTTTATCTGATTCACTTGATTTTAAAAAAAATCACTTTCGTAATATTTTGCTAACTAATAAAATTTATTTATTTTATTTTATTAAATTTTTCGAGTTGTCACATAACCTCCAGCAAATTACACGTAGGTAACAAGGGCAAATGCAGTCCTTGAGGTGTGGTATCCTCCATCAAATTGCATATAGGTAACAAGGGCCCGTGTAGTCCTTGAGGTGTGGTATCCTCCAGCAAATTACACATAGGTAATAAGGGCAAGTGCAGTCCTTGAGGTGTGGTATCCTCCATCAAATTGCATATAGGTAACAAGGGCCCGTGTAGTCCTTGAGGTGTGTTAACCTCCATCAATTTACACATAGGATGAGGGTGTATGCGTACTCCTCAAGGCGGGGTTAACCCGGAAATGAAAACTATGATAGTAAGGACGGATAGTCCTCAAGGTAGGTGAACCTCAGGGTAACGATTTTAAATGATTAAACGTGCTTGATCGGGAACGAGTTTCCGATAAGATATTTTCCTTGGTTTAGGAATTGATTTAAACAATGTTCGTGATATGGGAGTCCGAAGGGCCCCCATAGTAATTATATTTTGATATCGGGTGAGTTAGCCTGCGGGTGACTCCACTCGAGGGTAAGACATGGGAAGGGTGAATTTAATAAGGCTGTTATGCCTAAATGATTTGAAAGACAAATGGTCCCACGGGCCAGATATTTTACTCATATGTATATATGTATACATTTGTTTTGAAAAGGGGTAGCTAAGAGTTATGCCCATAATTATACTATCACCCTATTTTGAGGGTCTCACGTGAGAAACGTTAGTTACATTACATACAGTTTGCCCTCACCAGTACTTTTCTGTAGTACTGATCCCTCGGGGGAACCACCCTTTCAGGTTGAAGCTAGAGCTTACTTCCTGCACCCGTTGCTCGGGAGATCGATGGAGAGAAGGCGTGGTCCGTGCTTCCTCTGGTTCTATTTCTAAATAATTAAATAATGCTCATGAAACTATTTTGACTTATAAATTAATGGAGCCTGCGAGCTCTTGTTTTACCCTTGTGTGGGTTCTTATTAAACACTTATATTCCACGATGTGTTTAATTGTATGTTGATGTTGTTATGTATGTTTACTAATCGGTTTTGGCATATGTATCTATCGGACGTCTTGTGCAATTCGGTAAGGATGAATTGCGGTTATTCTTATTGGGTTGTACGACGGTTGTCCACGTGGCACAGACGCGGTCTGGGGCGTGACAGTAAGAGCTTGACGTCTCTTACTAGATTTTAATTAAAAAGACAATTCCCCCTTATATATAATCTACTTCTACTTTAGTACTAATAAAGTAGAGTCATTTCAATTGAAATTGATTTCTACCTAAATTGCAATTGAGTACAATTATTAGAGTTGATCATTTTTTAAATTTTGCCCATAATTGTTGTCAATCAAAATTGAATCAAGGCAAATTTGTTTACAACTCCTTAGTAGATAAACATGGAATAGAACCTAAAAACAAGCATTGGAATAGCAAATCCGTATTAGATAAACATGAAATAGCAACTGAAAATAGATTTAAGGCTTAAGCCTTAAATATTTTTATCACCTTACTCAGTATTAGATAAACTGAAAATAGATTTATGTCTTTATGAGCATGAGTAATCCAGATAATGAAAATTGATCGTTCGGAGGGAAGGTTGTTGTTCTCGGAGGAGACTTCCGGCAAATTTTGTCAGTCATTCCAAAGGGGGAAGAGCCGACGTGGTGATGACAACCATCAACTCCTCTTTTCTTTGGAGTGATTGTGCATATAGGCGTCTCACGAAAAATATGAGATTACTTTCAACTGTTCCTGATGGAAATAATGACATTGGAATACAAATCGATGGAGTTTCAGAAGTGGAAATTTCAGATAAATTTCTCCTCAAGGCGGAAGATAACTACTTAGCAACTATAGTTAATAGCACTAATCCTAACTTGCAAGAGTGCCTCATCGATCCAACTTATCTGCAGGAAAGAGTGATACTCGCACCTACTTTAGGCATGGTTCTCCAAACAAATGACTACATGCTATCTTTGATTCACGGTGACCAAGTCACATACCTCAACTCAGATAGCATTATTAGTTTAGATATTGGTTTGGGTTGTGAAAGTGACATGTATACTCCAGAACTTGTTAATAGTCTCTCAATCTCGGGGATGCCTGATCATGAATGGTAATATAATGAAACCTGATTGACTCTCACTAAGCTCGGAAAACATGTGCTAAAAGCAAAGATCATCACTGGAAGAAATATGGGGTGCACTCATCACATTCCCAGAGTGTCGTTATCTCCATCTGATGTAACACTGCATGCCTTTTAATTTCGGATGAAGCAATTCCTGGTTATGCTATGTTTTGCGATGATCATCAACAAGAGCCAAGGTTAATTAGTCTTTATCGCAGGTCGGACTACATTTTGAAAAAAATGTCTTCACTCACGGTCAATTATATGTTTCCATATCAAGAGTCAAGAGCAAAAAAGGATTGAATGATTCGCTCTAAAGATCGGAGATTTTCCTCCACGACCATAAATGTTGTCCATAGAGAGGTTTTCCACAATTTGGAAACATAGTCTTTCAATTTTTATGCTATTAAGTTATTCTAATGTATTATGGATTCCAACTTCATTATTATTATATACTCCGTATTATATTATACTTCGTATAATACTACGTATCAAATCAATACATATTTGAATGCTTTTGGCAATCACAATTACAAAGTTCATATGAAAGATATATTTCACATATACACAAAATTATAAAATAAATATTTCATATGGGAGTTGCACCCGGGCAACGTCCGGGTACAAAGCTAGTAGTGATCTGAAAGAAATGCACATAGGTGAAAGATAACATTTGCAAATATGAAATTATGAACACAATACCAAATAAGAATGAATGTTGATAATACACACAATTCCCGATACTTGATAGCAACACAAATCAATCTCTACCGTTGATCTAGATCAATCCCCACCATCCGAATATGTCTTCAACACCTGTTGCTCGACCTTTCAGTCTTTTGTCCATTTTCATTTTCTTAAAATTCAACCCCTAACCATCTTTCTCCTCACGACATCTGAACAGTCTCCATTGATGGCAAGTGAAACTTTCAACCCGTTGGGTGATTTTCTCATCAACCATTTGGATCAGATTTCAATTTTTCTTTGCCTTTAAATTTTCGAGGAGATTCACTGCCTCCTTCAGCCGCTGTGAAAAATGAAATCGCCCTCTCCATCTCAGCCATGGTCGCCGTTCAAAATCAGCTCCACCGTCCAAGACAGTGACAACCCTAGGCCTTCAGAGACGAAAGATAGAGATCCAAGACGAAATTGGAGAGCGTCCTGATAACTTATCTTGGAATCAAAAGTAACAACGAGGAAAGCAGTTTGGCGGCGACCATGGCACCTCCATTCGCTACTGAAGATAGAGTTTATAAAAAAGAATAGAAAAACATAAAAATAAAAGCCACATGAATAGCCCACATATGTATTTTACCGGCAAACCAGAGGTTTACCCACTAAAGCCCGAAATCGACTTTTTTACAAGGTAGATTCTATTGTACACATAAGAGCATCTCCAATGTTATAATGTGCACGGTGCACATGTGGCATGAGTGATAGTCACATAAATATTAGTATATAAATTATATCTCTCCTTATTTGAATGATTTTATACAATTTTGGTAAGTTTTTCCCTGCAATGTCAACAACAATGTCAGTATCTAGACGGTCTCCTTGACATTGTGGAGAAAAACTTACCAAAACTTTATAAAATCATTCAAATAAGAAGAGAAAGAATTTATTTACTAATATTTATGTGGCCATTTCTCATGCCACGTGTGCACCGTGCACATTTTACCATTGGAGATGCTCTAAGGTACCATACCATTGTCCACATGGACGAATCAGAATATTGCAGTTGAGTTATTTAGGTTTAAATTAAAAATGATAAACCTATTTGGACCAATCAAGTGAATGGTAGGTACAGTACCCCGTTTTTTAAATGGGTACCAAAGTTCTCACCTTTTTACAAAGTTTGAGGATTTAATCGATTGATTTTAAAATTGGAGGACCTAATTGACTTATTGAATATAGTATTAAGACTTATTTGACAGTTTTCCCATTAATTTTCTACGTAGTAATACGGATTATATCTACATCACAAGAGGCTTTTTTTAAAAAAACTATACAATTTCAAAAGTTTAATACTACCTCTACATTGTAATACGGAGTCAATTTTTTTAGAAATAAACACAAATAATAAACATGATCCTTAGACCCCTTTGATAGCATTGAAATTAATAGAACGACCATTAATTATCACGCTAAGTTGCAATTTTAATTTTAATTTTTTTAAATGTACTTTTTATAAATACATACATTTACGTAAAAGCATTAAATTACTTTATAGCCCATTTGATGACCATGTTTTTCGACTTATCAACCAACTTTCCCACCAAACATGTACTTTTTGATTTTGTGTGCGCTGAATTGTGTAATAATAAGAAAAGGTAAGGTTGAAGTTACTTTTCCGACTGTATTGGCTGAAGTTACCATAAAGAATCATTTTATATGTTTTTTTCATATAATTTTTCTTTATTTATTAATAAAATATATTTTAAATATAATTTTTTCATAAATTAGTAGAATCAGCCAATCTAGTCACTTCAACCAGAACTTCATAAATTTTCAGCAGAATCAACTAACACAGACGATATGGGTATTACCATACGGGCTCTTAATATAATTCTAATGTTTTAGTAAGATAATTTTTGTTAAAATTTGCTGACTTTGTAGACATCGTCTATAAAGTAAATTCTACAACCGGTCTCATATCACAATCGCACACTCCAATGTGTTTGAATAGTATAATTTAATAATAACATAACACATTTTCACACATTTGCACAACCCCCCTAATTTGCCCGCTTATACAGACAATTCATAATTCATTTACAAATGCAATTCATATAAATGTATAGTCATTATATTACTTAGTCATTATAAATAAACCTTTGAAAACGGAAAAATTGTTTTCTAAAATCATGTATCGCGCGAGTGAATTACTAACAAAACATTTTATTAGAAGGAAGGAGTTTAACAGGGGTTAGTGTGGGATAAAAGGTGTTAATTCCTAGACATTACTTAACACTTTCAGATGTTAGCTTGCAATTCCTATTCTGAATGCGATAATACTTAAATATGACATATTATGTCACGATTGTAAATAAACATCAAACACGGTCGTTGTCGCATGTTGATTTGTTGTTGAAAATGACGTTATTAGTCATGATCAAGTTTACGTGGTTGTGTCAAAAGTAAACAATCGTTGAGCGTTAAATATTAACATCGCAAACGATGACAGAGGGCCGAACTTTGAAACAAAAAATGTTGTGTGTAAAGATGTGTTTTATACTCCTTCGTCCCTCAATATTTTGTCATGTTTGACCAACACAAGAAATAATAAATTAAAAAATGTGTAATTGAGATATGTGCAGAAGAGAGAGAAATAACAGGAACCACAAATTCATTGATTAAAATGGAAAGTGACAAAGTTTTGGACCATCCAAAAAAGGAAAGATGAAAAAGTTATAAGGGACGGAGGGAGTAACAATTAGCATGGAATCTTAAAAACTTATAATTGTCAATGAAGGTTAGGGCATTTTAGGGATGAAAAAAATGTTGGTGTAATCATGTAGCTTAATAGAGTTGTACGGAGTGTTTTAGCATGTGTACTGTATTACTAAAGGACTTAACTTCGTGTTTTACTACCGTCAGTCATCGTTAGCTTGAACCCTGTTCCAGCCGGTCCATTTTCTTCTCCTCTTAGCCGCCCCCAAGCTTGAACCCTGCCACTCAGGTACTCCCAACGGTGCACTAACCTCACTCGCCTGCTCCTGTCGTTTTTGTGATGTGCCGCTAGCCATCCAGGTGTGTTATCATCTCCTTCCTCATTAATACCTATGTTATTATGCCATTGAATACCTTGTCATTGATTTCATCGGTTACAGATGGTGGAAAGGCTGATAGTCTAAGCCTTATGTCTTCAGGAGTATAAATGTGTTTCTCTCCCAGTTTGGAAAAGTTTGTGCGCTTTCTGACGGCCTTTGCGTTGTAAGTGTCTTCTTTTGCTTATGCCCTTGCCTCTGTCAATGCTTTTTTCAGTTTGTTGTTCGGATTTTGGTGCCCTCTTCATTACTCTGTGCTTCTGAAGATATATGAATCGAAAATGAAATTTAGATGATATTTGTGACACTCTAACTTCCCGAAACAGGGGCGTTGCTAAATATCATGAGATAATGTTGAGAGTGTTCTGAAAGAAAAATGGCGGTGATCACAGTAAGAAGATGAGGGCCTTAAAGAATAATGATGTGGATAGACATAGAAAGATGTTATTAGATCAAACACAATTGCATTCATAGGAGAGAAATATGTTGTTCTCTTATCCTTTCTATCTCAGACAAAAAAGTATCTTCACAAGCTAGGAAGTAAGACAACATCTGCCAAAGTTCAGCAGTTAGGAAGTAAGACAACATCTGCCAAAATTCAGCAGCAGCAAAAGCTCACGTATGCTCACATTCAATATACTCATACTCCATATTTTATTTTATTTCTATTTAATCTGTTTAAAATCTGCTTATGTGGTTGTACAAAGGACTGATTTCTATTTCTCCAACACTGATAGGATGTGCACGCAAATAGGACCTACTAAATGTTATCTTCATTATCTAAAAGCTCATTAAGTACGTGCAATCGTATGATAGATGCCTTTGGAAGGACATCGTTTATTTTCATTTCTATACTGTTATGAACTTATTCTTTCATTCTAGGCAATATGGACTCACATAAGAAGACAGTAAGATTTTAAGGAAAAATACAACATAAGTACAATAAGATCAAGTATTCAGATCTCTCCATACACTATTTGATATAAAAAAGACCTTATCAGCTAGAGACTTGCTTGTACTAACTGGAAGTAAGATATTAGAATACAACTAACTAACTAAGGAAAGCTATACTTTATATGCATCCAGTTAAAACATGGTTGGTAAATAGTATCAAGTATTTGTTTTGTTACGTAAATTTGCTTTATTAAATAAAGATGATTGGTAAGAAAATTTGTTTTGTTAAGTTTAAAAATGAACTACAATTTGCAGTTGGGAATGAAATCTTCTTTTTAAACTTTAGTATAGAAATAATGTATAAGTTGATAATAAAGTAAGAAAAAAATATCTAACATGGACCTATCCATTTTGAGCTGCTTTTGTTCACCCAAAGCTTTTGTTAAATATCTAACCAATTCCGCCTAAACCTTTTCCTTTTACAGAATGCTCTTTATATTTTCTCTACCTAGATAATTTTCTCTAAAGTGCACTATTCAACCCAATATAGGTAGGTAAATTTCTTATCATGCTTATAAGAATAGAAAGATTCTGTTCCCTTTAATAGCAATAAAATTCTTAAGGACATGGCTTTAAAGGGAGTAAGATTTGTATTAAAAATGAAGTTTAGAGTTCAGAATTATTTGGGTATACACGGATTAGTTTTGTCATAAGAGCATCTCCAATGCTAAAACGTTAACGGTGCATACGTGGCATGAGAAATAACCAATTAAAAAAACAATAAATACAATATCTCTCTCCTTATTTCAAGGATCATACATCATTTTGGTAAGTTTATTTTCACAATGTCAAGCACAATGTCTAGATGTAGACATTGTGATTGACATTGCAGGCAAATACTTACCATAAACACGTAAGACCGTGGAAAGAAGGAGAGAGATATTGTATTTATTGTTTTTTAATTGGTTATTTCTCATGCCACATATGCACCGTTAACATTTTAGCATTGGAGATGCTCTAAGTTTAGCATTGTGGAAGTGTGGAACAATTTTTATTGTGTGGACTTTGGAGAATTATTTGGGTAATATTTTGCACTGTATAATAGGTTTAGCTTTGTAGAGCTTTGACACTCATTTCATTCATTACAGTGATTAACTTATTTGGGTAATGTTTTGCACTGTATAACCTTTAGTATGCCCATTTTATATTTCCATTCACTACAGTGATTAACTTATATGCACTTTAGATAGTTCTGCTGCATATATGTGTTAGCATTTTGAAGCATTTTCCCTGCATATTTGTTGCTGTTTTTTGCTACCGTTAACATTTTGTACATCTCTATTTTACTGTTGTCGTGTCTCTTTTTTTTTTTTTTAAAATATTTTGACATTCTTTTTACAATCTTTTAATGATTATTAAAAATTTAGGATGAGTTAACATTCAGTTCCTAGAGTCTTACAAAGTCGAACACTATCATATTGCCAAAAATGAACTTTGGTACATAAATATTCTATAATACTTCTCATAAATTTTATTGCTTCTATATTTGTTGATTGGTTATATTTTAAGTTTTGCTTTTATATTTGCAGTTTCCTAAAATTTGGGTAATTACAGGTCTTTTTGAGGGCAATGCTAATGTTTATCAACACGACAACACATTGACCATGTTTGGCTCTGCAACACAACTTGAGAAGGAGAAAATAACAGAATGTTGAAGCAGTTCTATAACAAGTTAATGAGTTTTGATCTATTTGTTTTAATATGTTTGTTTACAAGGGAACCATCTTCTTTCTCAAAAGACACCCCTAGAGTCTAGAGATGTAATATGCTGAATTCAAACATTTTAGAAGTTGTTCCGTTCGTCTTAATCTTATTACTTATTCCTTAATCTTATTTTATTCAGATCAGATCAGATCAGAAAGATTCAGATCAGATCAGATCAGATCAGAAAGATTCAGATCAGATCAGAAACATTCAGATCAGATCAGAAAGATTCAGATCAAATCAACAACATTCAGATCAGATCAGAAAGATTCAGATCAGATCAGACCAGATCAGAAACATTCAGATCAGATCAGAAACATTCAGATCAGATCAGGTCAAAAAATTCAAACATGATTTATCACTTTTATTATTATATTAATTATGATTATTATATTATAGTTATTGTTAATAATATTAATATATTAATATAATAATATTATTAATAATAATATAATAATAATGTTAATAATGTAAAATTATTATTATATTATAATAATATAATATAATATAATATAATATAATATAATATAATATAATATAATATAATATAATATAATATAATATAATATAATATAATATAATATAATATAATATAATATAATATAATATAATATAATATAATATAATATAATATAATATAATATAATATAATATAATATAATATAATATAATATAATATAATATAATATAATATAATATAATATAATATAATATAATATAATATAATATAATATAATATAATATATTTATAATTATAATTATAATTATGATTTACAATGTAATTATAATTATAATCATCATTATTATTAATATGATTGTTGTTCTTGTTGTTATTGTTGTAATTATTATTACTTCGGAGTAATTATATATTTAAATTAGTAATTGTAGACATAATTATGACTATAGAAATAAATATTATAATTATAATTAAAATAATAATTATAAAATTAATCATAATTAAAAATATAATTACATTTATAATTGTATCTGTATTTATAATTAGTGTAATTGGTATAATTATTATAATTTTAAATTTAATTTTAATTATTATTTTTTTATAATTATGATTATAATTGTAATTTTATTTAAGTTATATTTTTAATTACAATTATAAATCTAATAATTATAATTGTAATTACAATTACAATTATAGAAATATTCAAATCAGATCAGAAAGATTCAGATCAGAAACATTCAGATCAGATCAGAAACATTCAGATCAGATCAGATCAGCAACATTCAGATCAGTTCAGCAACATTCAGATCATATCAGAAAGATTCAGATCAGATCAGAAAGATTCAGATCAGATCAGATCAGATCAGATCAGAAAGATTCAGATCAGATCAGATCAGATCAGAAAAATTCAGATCAGATCAGATCAGAACTTAAAAAATTCAGATCAGAAACATTCAGATCAGAAACTTAGTTTCACTACTTTATTATTGGATAAATATTGCTTAAAATAAAACTTTAATGGAGTAAATATGTCTAAATAACTCTTATTTTGGTGATAGTACAATTATTTGTTACTGTGTCTTTATTAAAAAAAAATTATCCATGTCCTCATTGTTTTACTAGCTGCAACTTTTCCACCCTGAGAATTTACTATCAGATAACATTTTACACCGTATCAAAAATTCATTTTATACTTGCTTTTGTTCTTCACTTGGTGAAATAAGAGAGATTGGCTCAAGTTTAATTTGTCTAGCATTTAAAAGATTTGATGCCGGTTTTAGTATAATGGATTATAGTGATACTACTTCGTATAATAGATTTATGTAATTAAGAAAGCTAGAATTGTAAGTACTTTTTCACCACTACCGTAAAAAGAGTATTTTTTTCACCAAATTCTTTAGTTCTTTAGTCTTAAATCTTCAGGAGTCTCACCCTTAGGATTGAAATGCTTTCAAACTTATAAAAATGTGTAGTACGTAGTATATGTTATGTCATTATCAATACAATTTCTAACTTCTTAGGAGCACATTGGATGCCCTCCTGGAATAACTATCGTTTGAAAGACTTGATGATCTTGTTGGGTTTACAATTCTGTTAGTTACATAGTCCATGGTAATTGGGCATTATCCCAAACGCGCAACGCGCGTGAGAAAACTAGTGTAATATGTTTTCAAATTATATTTATATTGTGTTCTACTTACTATTTAGTGTGACTATACAAATATGTGTACTACTATGTAATCATTGGAAAATCGTATTGAATATATTTTAATTTACGTCAAACTTTATTATTGTATGGAGTATAATCGTAAACCATTCAATTAAAATTACAATTTTTTATTTATTTTAAATTTGACTTAATTTACACGTGAAATTTCATCATTCGTGAATCGCACGGGTGTTCTACTAGTCAACTATAAAAGCTAAGTGACCCACCTTTACAATTGGAGTACTAACCCCTTCGAAGGTCCTCACTATTTATCAGGATGAGACTAGAGTCTGTTTCCTGCACCACTGTTCGGGTGATCAACTCATGGGAGGCGTGGTTAGTGCTTCCTGTTCCTGTTTCAAATAAAAATGTATTTGCTAATGGATATGTTCTAAATTATGTTTTGCAAACGTTTTGGAGCCTGCATACTCGTGATTGCCACATGTGGCCATTATCAAATGCTTGTATTCCGCACTTGTTTAATTTAATATTGATGTTGTTTATATGTGTTTACTAACCGGATTGGTGTATGAATCTTTCGGACGCCTTGTACAATTTGATGAGGGCGATTGTAGTTATCATTGTTGGGTTGTACGGCGGTTGTCTACGTGGCACGGATGCCTTCCGGGGCGTGACATTGATAGAGCTTGAAGATGATTATCTCAAAAAACTCACAAGAACCGAATACACATTTTTTTGTCAAATTGTTAAACAATGCACTAGCGGAGTCCTCTCTTATTCCTACTCAGTACTCTGAAAAATATATTAATACTACGTACTACCTTTGTCCCAATTTGATGATCTTGTTTTTTATTCACTTGGTCAACTGACGAGCATTTTGTCGTGATGTGCACTTCAAAATAAATATTAATACAACGATTATACGTAGTATAACGCAGTAAGGTTCGTATCCACAAGGAAAGGAATACTTCTCTTTTATGTAACTAGTAACAAGGTTTTTTTTAGATTGTTGATGAACTTAAGAGTATCTAAACACCAAGTTGAAACGACTTATGTGGTTTACTTAATAGATATGAAGACTTGGTTTTGCTTTTATCCACTTAATGAAATGTTCGCCAATCCCGATTATATCTTTAACTATCTTCCTCTTGAATATTCAATCGAGGAGTATCTCCAATTCATCAAGGGTAGTTATTAATAACGAGACGCGCTCATTAATAAAACTTACTACCGAGTCAATATAGAACATGCGCCGTATATTAACCCGATAGTAGCAATAAACTTAAGATGAAAACGATTGAGATTGACAACCTCAACACAAGCGGTTTATTGGTTTAATCAATATATTTAATTTCCCTTAGATTATTAACCATGGGGCGCATGCATTAATAATCCGAGTTTACTACCGTGAAAAGACCGAACGATTATCAAGCGTATTCGTCTATCAATTCTAGTAATAATTAATACATGAAACAAAACTAATTGATCCTTTAAGTAATGCTCAAAATATTAATATGAAATATGAATAGGAATTAATTAATATTCAAGGAAGAAGATTAAAGAAAATAACTCTCACAATTCATTAAGCTTCAAAGTAGCAAAATCAAGATGAAAGAGTTTAACTCCTCATTTGGAGACTAAACATGATAAAAATATAAAGAACGAACTTATCTAGACTGAGCTTAGAAGTATATGTGAATTGGTGATTTTATTGTGAAGGAAAGGGGTGTATTTATAGACTTTTGGGAGCTGCAGGGTCTGATACCTGATCTGGTATATAGAATACCCGATCGGGTATGTCGGCATACCCGATCGGGTATGTCACCCGATTGGGTATGTGACAAATCTTTACGAATTTTTGCTCCCATGATCGTTTGTTCCCAGATTTGATTTGAACAATCGAATCAAGCAAATACCCGATCGGGTATTGCCTATACCCGACCGGGTACATGAGTAATTTTTCCAAATCGAAATCTTTCTTGCCTTCTTGCACTTTCCTTGATCTTTTAAGGTCCAATCTTGATCCCTATGATGATCTTTGACCTGTTTAGCTCAGAATAGTTCTAATATAAACAAATTACAAATAATTATGAAAATAAAGTATTACACCAAAAGTGTGTAATTTCCACAACTACAACTAATAAAAACTAGTTAAAAATACAAACATACATAATAGGAAATCCACACCATCATCAACACAAACACTCGAAATCTCTTATTTTATATATCAAACTATTGTCAAATTTAATTTTTCTTTTTGCGACTTTGTAAAACTTTAATGTAGTTTTTAATATGAATTTTTTTATATGCAACATTGATACCATTGGAATGATTAAAAAAAATTATAAAATCAAATATTTTTTGTGAAAGTTAGATTATAAATGAAAAGGTTATAATAATTTAAAGCAAAAAAAAATGTGATGTCAAAAGGCGAGCATAGGGAGGGGATGAACAAAATTGGATTCCTTTTGTGGACTATATAAGGTTATGAAAAACAATACTCTACATTATTGTCATGATCCATAAACAAATTTCATAGTGCGTTGGAAAAGATCATAACAATTAAAGGTCAAATATTTCATATGGTATTAATTACAATTATTGTTATGCCAATGGTATTAATTACAATTAAAGGTCAAATATTTCATAAACAAATTTCATAGTCCTTTGTCATGCGACTCATGCCAATGGTATTAATTACAATTATTGTTCTAATCTTTGACCTCTTATGATTTCGAGGCACCATGAAATCATAACATGACAAAAGGGTCCATCCGTTGACCAAATCAAAGGACAGAAACTCTCTAAAAACCACCTCCTATAAAGCACCGTAAAATTCTGTGGCCTCACGTTAATTAACAACATTCTTTCTTTACAATATAGGAATAGGAATGGAAGGACCCATTTCCCAGATAACTCATCAATCAATCAAGGGAACAAATCACTCCCGGCCATGGCTGAGAAGTTGGCCGTCTTGACCGCCTTATCGGTCATCTTCCTCCTCTTCAACTTCTCAGCCGGCGAGTCGTACGTTTACGACACCAGCCTGAAATCGACATTGTTTCCGAACATCGAGATCACATTGGCCAATGACTACCACCGCCCCATATATTTCATGTGCAAGAACACCGACAAAGACAAGAAATTGCATCCTCTTGGCGTGGGGGAGACTTACCGTTTCAACTTCACCCAGGTAAAAAAAATTTGAAGAAATTGTTTCCGTTACGAGTAAAACATAGACAAAGTATATAAATATGAGCGATTGTCTTCTACTCTTAACATAGATGATTCTGTGATATTTTACAAAACATTAAACTTGTCACATTTGGAGCAGGTTTAATGCACCAAACCTCCTTCTTAATTAGAAATTCAATGCATTAGCGTCTGCGATTTAAAAAATGCTCCAAACCCCCATGTATTATAATTATTAATCATGCGCATGATTTCTTCTATTAACAAATTCAATTGTCAAATATAAGAAAAATGATTAACATTTTTGTATAATTTAGATATTTTGATAAATTTACTCGCATATTTAACCCACAACAACAACATCCAAGCCTTAGTCCCAAACGATATTGGGGTCGGCTAACATGAATCGATACATGATATCACCAAAAGGAAAAGAAAGAAAATAAAGATAAAAAAGATAAGTTATTCTAAAAAAAGATAATATAAACGAGATGAATATACATATAAAAGATAAAATAAAAAGGATAAAGTAATATTTATATATAAGGATAAAAAAAGAGGGGAAAAGATGATACAAGATCACTCCTCCAAATTGATCCTCATATACGATAGTACATAATATTTAATCCTCATATTAAAAAAACATTTCCAAATTGTTCAATTTGTTCACAAAAGGGATTCTGCGTGTGAATAATTATAACAAGGAAGGTTTACCACATTTTTAAAATAATATGAGGCTAATGCGTTGAAATTTCATAGTGCCTGAATTGAGATATCGGTTTATACTAGTATTTAGTTTTAGTATGTGACTATTGGGTTCTATCATAAGAGATTAATCTAGAACCGTTTGTTAACATTGAATTTGACTGAATCTGCTCACATTTATGAAATTGTGACCGAAGCGGCTGAATTAGCTAAATCTGTTGAACTATGAAAAAATTATATTTAAAATATTTTTGTTAGTAAAATAAAGAAAAAAATTATATGAAGAATAGCTAAAATTGTCATCTATATCAAATTTAGCCAAATCAGCTTAAAAAGCAACTCTAACTCACTTATTTTGATTATTACGTAATCGGCGTACCAAATTAAAAGTATGTATTTAATACAAAAAATAATTGATAACATTGATAAGGTGAAAACAAGATCACCAAATGCCTGAGCAACCCTAATATTTGATTTTGGTCGCATCATGATATATACAAACACCAATTGTTGCAGGTGGCATTTCCCATGAGGTGGTGCTTTTTGTATATCAACTCACACACGACTGGGTTTCTGTGGGTGTACAACATGCGATCAAGGTGCACCAAATGTTTTTGGAGCATCACCAATTTCCCAAACCTTTATAGGACTGACCGCGTGAGATGGGAGCGACAGAAACTATTTTTACCTATGGGATTTGATATCACACAATTCTTGGTTAGAGAGAACGCAGCTTGGCCATGATCAATACTTATACTCTTGGGAGCATGTTCTTGTTCTTACTTTCTTTTTGTTTTGTTTTTGTTTGTACATTGTTTTCATAAAACATGTTTGATTGATGGGGTTGGTTTGAAAAGTGGAGCTGAATGAGGAATTCATTGTTTTTTGTAAATCTAATCCTTGTGGAGAAAAAAGAATGTTAGATATGTGATGCTTACCACAATTCTTATATATCATAAAATACAAAATTAATTTCCACACCAACTAATGAAACGACTAAAAGCAGTTCATATCAAATGAAGAGATCGACTAAAAGTGATAATACCCTAATACAACAAGTGGTTGATAGGGGCTGGTTTAAGTTGTGAGGAATTAGGTCTCAAATGTGGCTACACAAAGGATCATGACAAGTGTTCTGAAACCGTGACTATGGTATTTGGGAGGTATCCGTTGTCTAATTGGAAAATTTTCAATTAGTGTGATAGATAGGGTTCTTGCTGTGATGTACTGATGGGCACGAGAGAATTTGTAGGTCAGATGACTACTCCAGGTTGAAATTACATGAAAAATTAAAGATCGTTGTGGAGTACGTGTGTCTAACTAAATGAGATTTGCTAGCATATTTGGTAGAAGGACAAGTGTGGGTTTGTGAATGGGTGAGAAGATGGAAATGTGTCTGAGTTTGGTAAAAAAAATTAATGGACACTACAATATTGGTGGTGTAGGCGCTCACTAAATGGAGTCTGGACTTATTTAGTATAGAAAATTATAAACGGGCACAAGTATCTCAATTGGTTGAGTGGTGGGAAAGTTAAAATATTGACCAAAGATCAAACCCGCAGCGGCTGTGTGAGGGTTACAGCTCATGTGTGCTGATCTAGATCTCTGGTGCACACAAGTACAAGATCTACCAGACTACTACCACTAGGCCGACTGAGTCACTGTGACTTACAATCTCTCAAA